TTATATATATATATATATATATATTAGAATTTTAATTGTCAAATAAAATATTTTTATCACAAACTCAAGCTAATGTATGTGGAGCTTTTACATTCTTGAGACTATGCTTCATGGGATGACTTTCTTACTACTTTCTCAATCAGCTTTTTAGTACAAAAAATTTTTGAATTAAAGTTTTTTTTTAACAAGAAAGATGTTTTTGAAAGCATTAAGAAAGTCATCCCATACGAAGCCTATACTTGGTAAGTAAGGCTTCATTTGAAACAGCCTTTTTATAGCTTTTTAAAGTATTTTTTTTTTACAAAATTTTTTTTGTACTTGAAAGTTGCTTTAGAAAATGGTAAGAAAGGTGCCCCAGATAAAGTCTAAGGGTTTGTTTGGAATAAATTTTACTACTTTCTAGAACAACTTTTATTAAAAAAAAAATAAAGTTTAAAAAAATTGTACTAAAAAATTACTTTAAAAATTTTTTGCACTTAAAAGCTTCTTTATAAAGCAATAAGAATTAAAAATTTTCAAGATACGTATGTAGTGTTTTCGAACTTGCAAGCAATCATTAATTGAAAATAGGGGGACATTGGTATGATCCACAAAATTAATCTAAATATTTCCATATTAAAAAAAAAAAGTACTCCAGGTTTAACTAAAAATCTTCAAAAATTATTTAGCACATGGACTCCATCTCAATAAATTTACATTTGATGAAAATAATTTGATAAGATGAACACAAAAGAAATAAAATCCAAGCTTGTGGGGATGAGGTTCTTAAAATTTGAGATGATGAACTTGAGGGAGGCCGGCAGGATGAGCTCCGTGGCAGCACCGGCGAACGTGGAGGTGGAAGCTGGAGGGAGGGAAGAAGCAGATTCTTGATCTCCCATTTTCCAGCTCTTGATACCATGTAAGAGTTTGAGAGAGCGGGAGAGAACGAGAACAAATGAATAGAAGGAAAATATAATACTATCTTATTATCTCAATTGAGTTGTTACAGAGTATATATAGAAGTAGAGGGATACAATAGTAAATACAAGCTGGTGTAGTATAAGCTAAATAGTAACGATTGCTCACAGTTTTCCCCCTAAAATGCCCAAATTAAGCTAGATTTAGTAAAATTAGATTGTTCTACACTTGCATAAGTGGCATTGGCCTTTGATCTGCCTCAACCCTCCCGGGACACCTCTCTCCGTGATTTAAAAAAACATCATAGACTTTATGTCAACAGTCGCAACCAAATTACTACCATCTACTCAATTAGTTTGAGGTATAAGGAAGTTAATTAAATTTTCCTAAGGGTGTGATTGTTGAGTCACATTTTAATCAACTAAGGGAATGCTCTTTGTGCTCATTATTACTAAGAATGTAAAATATTTTAGTATAATTCAAAATAAGGATCATATCATCCCACTTGAAGACTATAAAGGATCTCAGTTCTCCCTATATTTTCGCATTTTTAATTAGGAGCACTTAGGAATTATATAGAATCTTGGCAAAGGGAATGCTTTAGAGCCTTAAGACAACCATCCATGCACTTTAAAGTGCTACAAGACATTCGTCAATCAATGTCTCATAACATCTTTAATCAATTGACATCCGAGAACATTATGTTGCCAACATTCGTAGACCAACATCCAAATCGCAACGACAATTATGACCTTTCATATTCAATCCATCTTGACACCAATATTTTCCTTTGTTATCAATTCATGCACATTGTCATTTATCAAAATTACCACATCAAAAAAAATTATCTCCAATATTCCAAATTGTTTGCATTGTGTTCCTATTTTTCTCAGTAATGTGAGGATCAACCTTTATAATAATAATAATAATAATAATAATAATAATAATAATAAAGAGTAGTATATATATTATGATTGCACAAGGCAATATCACTTTTTCTCCCTATAAATTTTTCCAAAAAAATCCTTGTCCCTAGGTTCATAGAATTTTATCTCTCCTTATCTTTGAGAGTGAAATTTTTATATATGGTAAGAAGTAAATATGTAATTATCAATTTCTATAAATATAAAATTTTCAAAACAAAATAAATATGCATATTTCATATATCTTTACTGCATATTTATGTTCAATTTGTGCAAAAATAAAATAAAATTATAAATTAGTTTTTTTTTTAACATGGAACAAACATGTGTATATAAGTAATTTCCTATGTAACATCCAGAAGTAGGCTAATTATGAAATTAATGTCTAAATATTTATTTCTTAAATATTAACATTAAGGTTTCGATTGAGACGCCTTTCTTATTGCTTCTTAAAGAACTTTTTTGTGCAAAAATTTAATTTTTTACAAAAAACATGCTTTAAAAAATGATAATAAAGTTGTCTCAAACAAAACTTAAATCTAAAAGGACGCAATAAAATACTAATTAATATATTTATTTTTATCAAATTTTCAATAATTTAATTAGAACGATATTTTTTAATATAAGGAGCTAATTTAATAATTTGTTAAATTTGAGTGGCATTGCATACTATTTTTTAGGAAAATATTCTTTAATTAGATATTTATGAATCTATATAGTAAAATTTTAATTTGATAATAATAAAAAATATTACAATTATTTTCATTTACTTAATTGAAAAAAACCCTTCAATTAATCTAATAATTCGTGGTCCCCCATCCCCACCCCCACTGTCACGCGACTTGGTTTAGCCGGGCGGTTTTGGGCGGATCCCATCGCCAATTCCCTAAAAATTTTTCGAAACGGATACCACTACGATTCCGGGAAATAACCGAATCACCCCTATCTTATACGTTATTTACAATGCGCCCACCACGACGTTGGTATTTTCGTTATTTAATCTAAATATTGGGGCTTTATAGTAATATGAAATAAATATTAAACAATGTCCAGGACCCCTTTCTCTCCCTTCCCCCTCGCTCTGGCCCGAATTCCGCTCCTTACCGCCCGTCTTGCTATTCTCTCGCCTCTCCCACTCCCTCTCCCTATCTTCAAACTGAAGCAATTCTTCTTCAAATTCATCGAAGATCATATATCATTGGAGGAATTTTCTCCTTCTTCATCCTCACTTGGAAGTCGTTTAAATGGTGCGATCTCTTTATTTGTTCTCTGTTTATCCGCAACACTGCTGACGATCTCTGTTTCTGAGTTTGAATGATGCATTTGGGTGGTGCCAAAGAGAGTTGTTGTTTGATTTAATCGGAGCTAGAAATATTTTTCCTTTCTTTCTGTTTTTTTTTATTCCCTCTCTCTTTCTTGATTGGAGGTCTCCGTTTGAAGACCGCCGATAGTCGTATTTCTTTGATCGTTATAAATTTAAGAGAAGTTTCTGTAGTTTCTTGTGACGTTTATAACAGATTAGGAGATATGGTAGATGGGAAATTTGCACAGTTAATTTTTTTTTAATTGATGAAAAATGTATGCTCATATTCCGCCGCCCTTGTGTCTCCCCTTTCCCCTTTCTTAGTGCATTTATTGATTGCTAAAAAAATTTTAATTCTATTGAAATTTTCTTTTTTTCTTTCCTTCATAACCCTGTATCTTCTTTCTTTTTTTAGGATTGTGCTTTAAAGTGATGATTTCTTGAAGATTTTATTTCATTGCTTTTCTTTTGTTTTCCTCTGAGCATTCATCAAATTTACCTTATTTTTGAATACTTTGACGGGAAGGCATGTTGAGCCAATTTTGATTCTTTCATGGAAGGATCATTGGTCAAAATTTTCTCTTGCGGCTTATCATGTTATGGGGAGGACCTTTTGCTAGCAAGTCGGTATGTTCGGCACAAGAGAACTTTCGGCTTATGAGGTGTTACCTGTTTATGAGAATCCCAATAGTCAGAAAAACTGTTAGTTTCACATGGATCTTTTTGTATATGTTGTAAAATTCTTAATTTGGATAGTCCCAGACCCTAGAGGCCCTTTGCTTATGCTATAAGTGGACCGCTAATTCTCCCAATTGATGCATAATAGTAATGTTTAGGTGTTATGGTTATGTTTTTGGTATTTAGCGGCTCAAAAAGGTTTCTGCTTGTTTTTTTTACTTTGTTATGGTTACTCTTTGAAGGTAATGAATATGTTTAATAGATTTTAGATTGTCAAATCAATTAATTTTGCAGTTTTTATGTATCCATGATCAATGGCGTTATCTTAAGTTCTTAACTTTGAACACGGATAACCCATGAGTGGTGATTTTTCCCTTTTATTTTTTGGCCAGTAAACTTAAATATGAATAGAAATATTAAAGGGCAATAAAGGGTAGTTAAGATTGGACTTTCAATTACTTTGCTTGCCCTCGATCCTTTCAAGAATTTATATGTTTTGTTTGGGTCATTAGTAGAAAGACGCCATGTTTAGTTAACTGACTTGCACAGTCTACTACCATTAAAGCTCTTATTATAGTTTTTGGACTTTATTTCCACATAGTTACAACACATGCCTTCTTATTTGCAGCTCATTCAACTTGGTTGTTACAAAAGTAGAGCAGGTTTTTTGGTGAATGGATCTAAAGCATACAATCGCTAGCCTCTTGGGATCTGAGCTTTCAGAAAGCCTTTCTTTAAGTTCTCAGCTGCTAGAAGTTTTGGCTATTGAAGTTCTTGCATGCAGATGATTCTTGTTTTTGCAGTTTAGAGAAGCTCTGTTGAGAATGTTTCAAGCCTGCTACAGATTACTATGTTTTGTAACTGCTTCAAATTACGCAAAGCTCTGTAAAATACTTTGCTCGTTTCCTTATTTCCCTTCCAGTCCTGTGAAATTGTGTTGATCCCATCCTAGTGCATTGACAATCATGGAAAGGTTAGTTAGTGAGACTAGTTTATCATGAGGAGAAGCTTAAGCAAACAGTTTTAATTGGAGCTTCCTGCTTAAATGATCTGCAGGTACAGACTTCTAAAGGAGATTGGGGATGGAACGTGTGGAAATGTTTACAAGGCTCTCAATTTGATGAATAACGAGATAGTAAGTATTTAACTTTTATTTGAAATACATTTTACAAAGCATGGTACAATATGACCATAGTATGAACGATATTTAAGTATCTGTAGTGAAAGCATAAACTTGAAGATCATTTCACGTACCATGAATACTAAAGTTTGAATGGTCAATATCTGCATTTACTGTTTGCTGTTTTTATGAAGTTTAAATAATACTCTCTTCATTTGGCAAACTTATTCAAGGAAAAAGAAAGTTCGCTGATACCATCGTATGTGAATTTCAGGTTGCAGTTAAGAAAATGAAGAGAAAGTTTTACTATTGGGAGGAGTGTTTGAATCTTAGAGAAATTAAGGTTTGTCTCTTTTTACAATTATGGGCAGCCATGTTTTATTTTTATTTTTATTTTTATTTCATGTTGAGCACATACCAACCCCACATAGTGGGATTAAGGCTTGAAGTTGTTTTTTTAACACATTGTAACTTGCTGCTTCTGCAGTTGCTCCAAAAGCTGAACCACCCCAATATTGTTAAGCTAAAGGAGATCGTCAAGGAGAATTATGAGCTTTTCCTTATTTTCGAGCACATGGTGAGGAATTGGTTCTTTTATTTTACTTTAAGTATGAAATACAAAAGAAAGTGATATTTACAGTAAGTCAATGAGATTTTACTGTTGTTTAATTTGAAAACATATTGTTCCTGGTTACAAAATACACTTTTTCTTGGTAATGTATCTTATTTAGTCTATGTTTCAATAAAAATTTTTGTCTATTTTGGACTTCCATCATGTCATGCTTGCTTTTGTTCTACGGTGTGCTACCACTGCTGTGTTGTGCAGTGTGAGCATTTTTTTTTTCCATTTGTTGTGAATACTATATCTGGCTATCATTATTTGATGGTGAATGCATTAGCATTTTCATGTGCTCATTCTTTGTTTGGTATGGAAGCATCTAGAACCTAATCAAAACCTGACTACTGCGAAGTTTTTAATATGACGGGATATTGCGAATTGTTTATACTTATAAAATTTTTGTATTTAGGATTGCAATCTTTATCAATTCATGAGAGATCGTCAAATCGGACAAAGCCATTTTTCGGAGTCGGAGATACGAACATTAATGTCACAAATTTTGCAAGGGCTTGCCTATATGCACAGAAATGGCTATTTCCATCGGGATTTGAAACCTGGTCGGTTATTTGCACTCATCTTTGCTTTTCTTTTGGACATTTAGTGCGATAAATTTATTCTTAACGCATGATTATGAATTTGATTTTTAGAGAATTTATTGGTGCAAAATGACATCGTCAAGATTGGTGATTTTGGACTTTCAAGAGAAATAATGTCTCAGGCTCCGTATACTGATTATGTTTCTACTAGATGGTGTGTTTCGTCGGCCCACCTAACTTTAGACCTTGTGTAGCTTAAGTTATTTCATAAAATATTGTTGAATACTCTTTTACAAGGTATCGAGCGCCGGAAGTTTTGCTTCAATCTTTAGCATACTCACCTGCAATAGGTATGCTACGTCATCCTACCTACATAGGTTCAGGAATTCAGTAATTCTTTTCCGGTTAATTTAATTGCTGTCAATAAAAGCATGCTGTAATCTTAAAAACTATTCTTTCAAATTGCTTTGAAAGACCTATATTGAAATGCTGTTTGTCTCTAATTTTAGTTCTATGCGGTGAAGTTCTTGGCGAAAGTTTTTCTTATCTTTGTTCTACTTATTATTGTAGTTTGCATTATGAAATCATACTTTTTAAAGAACTTGGTCAATGCATAACCTCAAATCATTGAAATACTTTAGTTAGATTTCCTTTTTCTTTGTAGCTTGAACAAAGTTAAAAAAAGTACATGCAAATCAGTCAACATCTCTCTTATTGTGCAGCTATTATAATCCCCAAAATCCTGATGGATAATCTTCAAGTTCTCTTTTTTGTTTCTCATTCTGAAGTATGGCATACTTGATTACTATCATGTCAATATACACTATTTTCTCATTTTTTGCCTACTTGCATTAGTTTCTTATTCTTGTGCGGCAGCAAGCAGTAAGCCTATTTTAGATTTCACAGAGTGATAAAAACTTGTTGGCTTAAAAAATATATTCTGAAAATTTCTGTATGGAATATAGGGCCTTATATTTTGGTATTTCATTGCTTTTGTTGTTGTTGCTTTTGCTAACATGAAGAAAAATTCTAGACATGTGGGCTGTTGGAACAATTTTGGCTGAGCTCTTCGCACTCTATCCACTTTTCCCGGGTCAAAGGTAAACTTCTTTCTTTTGTCTAGTCAAGCAACAAAATTTTCTCCTTTTTCCTCCATTCCAACGGCTCTTAGCATTAAATAAGTCTCTTTGTATTCTATTTGCTAATGAATGTTTTAAATAATGACTTTTTTTTTCATGACTTCAAATTTTGTTTGAAGTTAAACTATGGTATACAAACTCAAAATATTTGTTAAATTTAGTCCTTGTGACTTCGGATTTTTGTTTTTTCAGTGAAACAGATCAAATGTTTAAGATATGCAATGTGCTTGGGACCCCAGATTACAACATATGGCCTGAGGGGATGGAATTGTCCCGAGCCATTGGTTTTAATTTCTTTCAGGTAGAATAATTTACCTGGAGAATTATGGGCTTCTAATGATTTTATAGCTTCCATGACCTTTTCTTCTGTAATGTTCTAGGCTCCACGGGCTAATCTGGCCGATATCATCCCAAATGCTAGTATGGAAGCAATTGATTTGATCCAGGTACTTGTGGTAATTGCCCATTCTTTACATGAATTCTACATAGTTTCTACTGAAACCAAGTCTTTTATAATTGAATTTAAATAGAAACTCTGCTCCTGGGACCCCCGTAATAGACTAACTGCAGAGCAGTCATTGCAACATCCGTTTTTCCACGTAACTCTTTGAACCATTTTTTAATTAAAATATAAATTGGATATGGCTCTCTCCAACTTCGGTGCTTTGTTCAGGTGGCTACATATGTTCACTATCCCCTCCAGGATTTTCTTCCTGTGAACACAAACCAAACTGGTGAGCTGCTGATTACTGACTGGTGATTTTTGTTTGTCTTTATTATGTTTTTCAATTTCTAAGATTTGAATTTCTGTATATATTGTTTTCAGGATCTAGTCCAAATCTTGAATTAAGCCTATGGGACTTTGACAATGAATCAGAGGAGGAATGCTTTCTTGGTTTGACTTTGGGAATCGAACCCAGCAGCATTCCTAATCTTGGTAACCATTTGCCTTCATTAATTCCCCTTAGGACCTTGTAAATCTAATCATATTTGGGTTGCAGAATCTAGTATTTAAAAGAATAATAGCAATTTGAAGTTTTAACATCATTTGCATGAAATGATGTGTTATTAGTAGTCTTAGATTTCGTTTGAGATAGTTTTCTTACTGCTTTCTATAGAGAGCTTTCTAGTACAAAAATTTTTGAGTTCAAAAAATTTTTATGCTAAAAAGTTGTTTTATATAGTAAGAAAGCTTTCAGAAATGAAGCCTTAAGGTTTGTTTGGGACGGCTTTCTTACTGATTCTTTAAGCCGTTTTCTAATGCAAAAGTTTTAATTTTTGCATTAAAAAGTTGCTTTAAGATACAGTAAAAAAGCTGTCCCAAATAATGCTTTAATGTATATAGAAGCATTTGATCATTTCTTTACTATTGTTAGTGCATTCTATAGCTAAATTAGTTTTTTTTTTTTCTAAGAGTTTTTTCTCTTTAATATAGCTAAATTAGTTCTTCATATTTTAAGAGATGTATTTGCAGCTTCTGTTTGGTTTGTCAATACTTTTTTATTGAATTAGGTTTTGATTGATTCTCTTACATTCACAGATACCTATCACAATTCTCAACGTTCAGAAAAGGTTAAAATTTTTTATTCAAAATCACATTCATGATGCACGTGCTTAATTTCTATTTAACTGGTTGAATGCTCTTTTTGGATTATTTAACCTCATAACTTAATATGATGTGCAGGAAATCTTGTTTTGCGCTGGATATGAGCACCATTCTGAGCAATTAGGTTAGTCACTCCACCTTTTGCATGAACATTCGCCTATATAATTGCTTATTCTTAAATGCATTACTTATGAAAGCACTTTCTCTATTGAGATTTGCAAAACTAAGCAGTTGCTATATAGAAAAATGTTCCTTTTCCTTTCAGCTGCTGTAACTTTTGAAACATGATATGTTTAGGCTTCGTTTGGGACAGCTTTAGATTACTATTTTTTTCCTACTTTTAAAATATTTTTATACTAAAAATCAGCTTTACATAGCATTAAAAAAAAAACACCATTTTTGATAAAAACTAAGCAGCTGCTATATAGAAAAATGTTCCTTTTCCTTACAGCTGCTGTAACTTTTGAAACTTGATATATTTCGGTTTTGTTTGGGGTAGCTTTAGATTATTATTTTTAGTTTTATAAAGCAATAAAAAAATCGTCCCAAATAAAACCTTTAAGAACACTTCAGCAGTTAAATGTAGCTTCTAATATGAGATATATTTACTAGAATTAACCAAATTCCTCAGACCAAAATCCTCTATTTTATTTCTCTGCAGTCTTCTGGCCTCTGATTACTCCTGAAAACAATATGAATAATTTGCCAGCAATGACTTCACTTTCATTATCATACATGCCGAATAGGTAAAACTTTTTTTTTTTTCTTTTTTCTTTGTGATGGGATTAAAGAACCTTAAATTTTTTTGTTTCTTTTTCTTCTTCATCTCTTAAATTGCTTGAGACTTATTTCCTTGTAGCCAAACTCCCATTCCTCCTTTCAGCATTCCAGAATCCTCTTCGTTTGACACCCCCCATCAGCAGCAGCCAAATTTGATGGACTGCCATTTGTTTGCACCGATGATGAGCCCATCTTTACCGATCCACCGTGACTTTTTCTTTCAGTGAATACAGTTTCTCAAATTTTTTTTTCTCTTTTTTTTTAGAATCTGTGCAATTAATGGCATTTAACTCCAATAAGTGTTGCTTAATTGTGGATAATTGTAAATCAAAAGTTTTGTTTTTGGTTATTTCTTTTCTTTTTTTTTTTAACTCCATTTGTAGATAAACAATTTGAGAATGGCTATTGAAATATATGAAATTGTTTTTTTTTTTTGTTTTTTTTATCTTTTTATGATAAAAATAAAATATTATTTTGTGATTTGTTGTGTTGAGGAGGCAGTTGGGTTTAGGTAACCTGAATACCTACCCGATCTTACCAACCTATTTGTGGCTGTGCTTTGTAAAGAAAGCATTATTGTGCATTATTTTATCTCTTTGAATAGTAAGTTTTCTTAAAAATTTAAAAAATAATAAGATTATTATTTAAAATAAAGTTTTATCAATTTTTTAATTTTTTATTTATTTGATGAAACTATTTGTTTATTTAAAAATAATAACTCATTGTATATATTTAATATATATTGTATAGTAAGGATCAATTCATAATTATTGAGAAGTCCTGATACATGCTCAATTTTGAAATGAATTTTTATGAATTATTTTTTAAAATATTATTTTAATAAGAGATTTTTTAATTAAAATAGAAAATCATAACTCAAAGTTGGAGCACAATAAAATTTATTTTGAGTGAAGTAGATGCTTGAAATTATAAATGTAATATTTATATTTTTAACTTGCATTGTAAAAATTTTAATAATCTTATATCTATAAAGTTTGATAAATATATCTAATAAGATATATATGTAATATCTACACTTGATTTTTTTTTTTAAGGAATGCTGAGTGATGGTTGTCACAATTATGTAGCGCTTAATAAGCAATATTTTGGCAAATAATAGGCCATAATGCTTTTAATATTATTTTAAAATTTGAGTGTTTATATAAATAAAAATTAAAATTTGTATTATATATAGAAATTTATTATAAAATTTGTATGTAAACCCCCTCGTAATTAAAATAATTTTTTAACATTTTATATCTATTCAAAATAATATTTATTTGATCAGCGGTTGTTTTATAGGGGCCACTGATATTAATTTTATTATTTAGATTTTAAAAATGTTAAAAAAATGTAAAATGTGATAATTAAAATCCAATCAAACAACTTTTTTTTTTCTAAATATCGTTTCAAACTCTTTATACGTTGTCCCTTTTCTTAAGGACAATTTTCTTTTTAAAAAATTTTTATTAATTAAAAATAAGTCTTGAAAATAATTACATTTGAATAAAGATAAGATTAGTTACAAATAAGGCAGAGCATAAAATAAATTACATATTTCACACAGAGACCTCCTAAGTATTTAATTTAAAAATATCAGAAATTCCCAAATATATGATCCCTAATATATAAATTAAAGAGCATATTTTCTCTTTGGTACCCTTTTAACATACAATTTACAACACGCCCCTTATTTTATCCAAACCATCAGCACACTTAAATATTTAAGTTTACCAACTTTAGTATAATTTTAAAATAGAATTGAATAAATATGGTTGTAAAAATGCAATGTTTTATAGAAAATAATTTTCAAATAATGCAATTATAGGGGACTAAATTGCATAGTGCCTCTTTTAACAAAAGTTGTTATGAGTATGGTATAGGAGCTATTTGGTTAGCTTAAAAGGAATGCACTAATGCAATGTAAAAATAATACAGTATAAAACAAATACTTTTGAAGTGATTTGAACGAGTATAAAGTAAATTCAGATGAATATATATTTTTTAATTTGGTTTGAAGTAAAAATAAATATATTGTAAAGTTTAAACATGATAGTCAATAACAATGGTGGTGGCCGACGATCGTCAGTGGTGGTCGGAGGGGTGGTGGTTGTGACTGCCAGTAGGTATGGTGGTCGGCAACGAGTGGTGGAGGCTGGCAGTAGTGGTCAGCAGCGGTCAAGTGAGTTTGCTTGCTGTGTAAAATATTTAAGCTCAAAATTGGATGAGTTTAATTTACCTCAAAAATAAACTACAATGATTTACATTATATTTATTTTAGTTTGAATTCATTTTCATCCAATCAAACATCAAAATTATTAAAACTATTGCATTATAGGGGACTAAGGCTTCGTTTGAGACGGTTTTCATATTGCTTGTTAAAGCAGCTTTTTAATATAAAAATTAATTTTTTGTATTAAATTTTTTTTTAAGAAGCAATAAAAAAGCCGTCCCAAAGGAAGCCTAAATTGCATAGGGCCTATGACAAAAGCCAGCTGTTATGAGTTTGGTATAGTGGATAGTAGATTTTTTATTGGTTTGATTGCTCATAATTATACTGATTATGAATTAATGCATCATTAAGCATGATTTTGTATTATAATGTTTGGGCGGTGGGGATAATCCATTTTTCTTTAAATGACCACCGCCCAATAAGTCTAGCTGTGGGCTCTATCCATTCTACTTTTTGGCTGATTTATTTTTATTTTTATTTTTATTTTCAGAAGTTGTCATTAGTCCTATATTATTATTATTATTTAATTATTTTATTTTATTAATGAGAATTATATGATATGATTATAAATTAATTAGATCAATTTATTATGATTACAAAATTCTAACTTATTAATTTAATTTTGAAATTAAGTTAAATTGAACAGAATTTTAATTTAATGTGTTTAGGCCACCAAATTTGTTGTGAGAATATTTTTTTTTATTATCAAATATAATAAACTGTGATAGTAATAAAAAAGTTGATATATATATTTTTTATTTCTATAATAATTATAATTTTTTATTTATTTACTTTTTTTTTACAAATAATTGCAGTCTGCCAAAATATGTTTGATGCGCTTTTGGGTTCAAGAAGTGAGAATATTTGGCTATTATCTATAGCAAATTGGTTTGGGTATTGATTGGAAAGTAGCTCTATTTGGTTTTAGGTAAGATCTAATGGTGGATTTAGAATTTGGGTATGGTTAGTGAGGAATATTTCTCAAATTTGTAGGAGAGCTAAAGTTATAGACAATTGAATATTTATATTATATATTATACCATATTATATAAAAATGAAATCAAGAGAATCTTGTAGGTCTTTTTATAATTGATTAAATTATGATTAGATGATATTGATTCTAGGTTGGTCTTAGTTTATGATGATGGTCTAATATGTATAATCATACATATATTCTCAAGTATCTTATAGATATTTAACAAATATTGATAGAATGATTCATACCTGATAAGTGCTAGTATAAAATTCTAACTCAATCAAGAATGGTCGGCCTCAACTAGACGTACCTGATAACATTGGAACTTGACTGGACAAAACCACCCAAGAAGAACATTCACAAGGGAAAGTCCGACGGTTCACATGGGACTCCCCAAACCTGGTGAACACATCTTCTTAGCAAGAGTTTCCTTATCCAAGCGTCAAAAAGGCATATGTGGTACTTATCACTCTAGTCTTTTGAAATATTTATCCTAAAGAAGATACAAATACACTTTCGCGTGATTGGAAAACCATCAGATTGCAATCGCCATATCTTAAGTAGATTTGACCTCCACATCAGAACAACCTAAGAGCTACAAGTAGGAGGTTGCCACTGTGGCGAAAAGACTCGCCAACATAAATTTTTATAGCTCGACTAATTAGAAGACTCTCTTTCATCAACTAGCTCATGATTACTCAGCATAAGAGAACGTACCCGGAGACTAAAAGATACCCAACAGATTACGACATGTTTCCTAAGTAGTTCGTATTGGGCTTCACTATTATTGTGAAATTTATCTTTTCTGATTTGCCCTTCGTGTAACCCGTGAATGCTTATAACTAAAGGGTGAAGATGCTTTTTTTTTTTTTATCTTTTAGATTTTTTTTCAAGCCCTGCTGAGTTAATGAAATATTTTCCTTCGAGCTTCACCTAGCATTACTCCTAAACATCCAAAATCCTCTTCTTTCCTTCCTATTGACCATAAGCTCTAGGGTTCTTGTCTCTTGAGTTTATTTGCTAGTAAGATTGGGTATCATCTTCAAACAAAGTTATTGTAATAAGTTATTTCTCTATTCGATGATGTAAATATATTATATTACAAGTGAAAATATCATAGTTGCATAGGTAATGAAGAATCAAAGTTTTAATGATTGAATTGGTGAGAATACTTTTGATAAGTTTCATCATCTCTTGAATGTGCATGCAAGAAACTCGTGATAATATCAAGCCATTTGTACATGTATTGCATGATGGAGTATTCATGGTTATCCAAACTCTCTTTTTTAACATCCTTGAGCCTTTACTTACAAAGTGAAGAACATAAATGCAACTCTCTAAGCAAAAGTATTCTCAGGGTACCATACAGAGTGATGTTACATATCAATTAGATCAAGCAAATAAAGCAAAATATCCAATTATTATATCCCAAGCAAAAGCTCAAGAAAATGTTAAGAGCCTAATCAAGATTTATCACAAGTGTCAACTAAAGAAGAAATAATTTAATTTTGAGTTTTAATATTTAAATTTCAAATACGTATCTACCTGACTTTTCATTTTTTAGAGAATAGGTTTGAATTTTCCACTTAAGGAATGTTTGAAGATAAAAACATTAATAAAAGTAGTTGACGCATGCCTTCATTAATGGCCACACATACTTTCTCTCTATAATTCAATTTTTCTTTTTAAATAATGGAAATCATTGTAACTTTATAAATAGTGATGACATTTAATTTAAAAAATTAACATTTTAATGACAGAAAAGTTTCAAAAATTTTATTATCTTTGGTTAGTACTTTACGACCTACATAGATCAACTTTGATGGGATTAATTGGTCACTCTTCTTAAATCTTCTTTTAAACATTTATAGCATCTTACTCCACATCATAGCCATCTATCAAGATCATTCATCCATAACTGAAGCCATAAGAATCATCCTAAACGTCACTTGGAATCCCATGGCCAAGATTAGGCTCCATTGTAACTAATTATATTCTTCAGCATTATATAAACACTAAACCCTTATAAAACTCAGCTAAAAGATTTAGATTTTAATTTCATATCCTAGATTAACCCTCCACATCTATTTCACTGTATTTACTCTTCACAAATCACATTCTCTAATGAAGTTAGTATTGGCTTTCCCTTCATCATACCCTTTAAAACCCCTCATCATTCCACCATAAACTCCAAATCACTTCTCCACATATAAAAATAATTATAAA